TAAATACAAATCATAATATATTATTAGTACAAAAAAGAATAATAAAGAAACATCCAAGATTAATATTAAATAAAAGTCATGTAAAGATCATATAAATTGTCCTAAATAAAAGAAACATACTTTTTAACTAACAAGGATCTTAAATTTTTTATTATGCTATGAGAACTTAGTAAGAATCTTTGATAGAGAGTTGTTTATTTATATTTAAATAGGTATAACAAGAAAAAAATTGCTAAAATTCTTTATATCAATAATACTACTATATACCAAATACTACATATTTTTCAAAATATGAATATATTAAAAATCCATTTAAGGGTCAACTGGGATATAGAAAATCTTTTGACCATGATAAATTAAACTTATTAAAATTCATTGTTAAGGAAAAAGTGAACTGATAACTTGATGAATTGTTAGTTGAAATGAAATCTTATACTCAAAAGCAAGTTTCTGTTTTAGCTTTATAAAAATCTCTACAGTATTGTGATATCTCTCATAAGAAAATAAATTAAAAATAAAATTTTATTAAAATTTTATATAATATTATATATATATATTTAATATTTTTTTTTAATTTAGTTACAAAAAATAGCATGTGAAAGAAATAAACTTCTTAGAAGTATATTTCTTTTTAAAATTAGGGCCAATTATCAGTCAGAGCATTTAATCTTTATAGATGAATCATCAAAGGATGATCATAGCTCAAATAGACTCTATGGTTATGCAAATAAAGATAGTTGTATATATAAAAAGGTTCTTTTTATTTGTAAAAAGAGATATACTGTCTTGCCAGCCTTTTTGCTAGATGGTATTTTGGCAGTTAATATTATGAAAGGTAGTTGTAATAAAGAATACTTTCATGAATTCATATTATCTCAAGTGATAAGTTAAATTTTATTGCTATTAAATTTATTTTATAATATATAGTAAATATTTATTTATTTAATAATAGGTTCCAATAATGAATCTCTTTCTAAAGAAGAATAGTGTTATTATTTTAGATAATGCCCAAGTGCATTATGATGAGTTTCTTATTAGAATAATAGAAGAACTCAGTTGTTATATTATTTTCTTACCTTTGTACTCTTCAGACTTCAACCTTGTAGAATTAGTATTTAGAATGATTAAAGATTAAATGAAAAGAAACTGAGATTTCATAAATACTGCAATAGATCTCTTTCATGCACTCATGGTTGTATGTGTACAGGTTATGCTTCAAATAGCAAAAAGTTTTTTTAATGAATCAATTTATTTAGAATAAAAATATTCAAACTGCCAACAATTATTTCATCGACATCATATAGAGTTAGGAGTAGCATTTTATTATTTACTGATATATATTTTTAGTAAATTGTCACCTGGTGTGATGTCAGTTAAATAAGCTGTTAGTGAAATAATACTAAACTGTTTATTTGATATTTATAATACATATAACTATTTACTGTATAAACTAATGTTTATTTATTCTTATTATATGAATTAACTAATTTGTAAATTAGGTTATTACTATGATAATTTTAAAATAAGGTTTTATTGGCATTAATAGCATTTACATTAAATATTTTAAACAAATAACCTTTTTAAGACTCCATTTATAAAGATAAAAAAAATGTTAAAAATGATACAAAAAAATATTATTTTATTTAATATATAATATAATAATATGTCTGTATTCTAATATTTATTTGCTTTTTGTTTGATATTTATTCTCATCCCAATTTTGTTACTCCTAAATCTATTAGATTTGCATCAGTTAAATGTTTAATAGCATTTATAGTTATTTTTTTCTGTGCAAATACTGCTTCTAACTTTAAATATTCATCATCTCCATTACTATAAATATTATTCAATTTTTAGAAAAATTTCTGAAAAGTTAAAAGAGGTTATGCTGAAACTATTGATGTCAAATATGTTTGTTGTAAAGGTTCTGTTAAAATCATTGATGTTAAATATATTTGTTGTAAAGGTTGTGTTAAAATCATTAATGTTGAATACATTTGTAACTGAATTTTAGTAGCATAATGCATATTAAAAGTAGGGTATGTAGATAGTAATTCTGCCATTGTGAGTTTAGTTTTCTGTAATTAAAAAATATTTTTGTTAATATAAAATATTTTAAATTATCTATTATTATAATATAGTAATACTATGTAACAATATCTCTTGCCTATAAATGTAAACATGCAGATATTAGTTGAAAATGTTTATCTTCTTCAATGTAACAAGATATATGATGAATATTATATTGATATTTTATTCTAAGTTGTGAAATGATTTCAGCTAATTTAATCTTATCAGGTACAAGACTAGTTTCTTTCAGTACACAATTGTGTTTAACTCATTTGGATTTCATTCTTGTTATTTTTTTATCAGAATCATTGTCTTTAATTGATTTTTATAACCATTAAAAAAAATTGAATATAATTTATTATATTACAATACATATTATAATATTTATCTTAGCTTTTTACTTATTAGATAATTTTAATAAAACATTTAATACTATGTGATTTTTTGAACTCAAATTTTGATACTCTGAAACAAATGCATCATAATCACTATTATCTTCTAATGCCATTGCTTAACCATGTCTATTTACTTTATAAGAAATTTCAATTCCACTTCTTTCAATATTATCATCATTTATACAGTTACAAACATGTTGAATAAGATCAGAATAAAATGTATTAAAATCATCAAAATTAAACATAAACTATTTTGTAGATATTGGTGTAGAATTTTCATTTTTGATAATGACCTTTACTTTCAAACTCAAACAAAGAGCAGAAGTTTTACTTAATATAGCAGAGTCTATTAATAAATCAAAACTTTCATCAAATAAATCTGTTGAATCATCAGAGTCTTCATTAATACTAATATAATCTATAATGGTAAAGAAAGATTTGGTTTTTTTGAATCTCTTTTAGCATGTTCAAATCATAAATAATATGGATTACAAAAACTAAGCTTAAAGTGATTATTAAAATCACAGTTATAACTAAAAATTTAATTAGAGTTTTGAAGAAATAATTTTTGACTTGAAGAAATTTTCTTAGGATTATAAACCTGGCTATATACTTGATTATTTTTAGAATGTGAAGGTTTTTTTGTAATATTATATTTACATAGCTCTTTAGCTTGGTCTGTAAAACAAAGAAGACATTTTTGACACAAGAAGCATGTTCTGATTTTGTAAAGTGATGACATTTTAATTGAACATACAAAATTTTACAACAGTTTAAATATCTTTAATTCTAATTGTCTAAACACCAGAAATATTTGTATATACATATATGTATGCACAAATATTAAAAAGAAGTAGTATACAAATATAAAAATAATGTAGCATTGACAATAATGAATTAACAATAACAGATTAACAATTAGAGTGTCTAGAAAGAGAAGTAGATAAATAAAAAAATCTTATTAGTATAATAAGAGGTATTTAATGTTATTATGTATTTAGTATACATATTTTGTTTTATCTTGTTGCTTAGTATCTGATATCAACTATAAACTCTTTTTAATAATTTCTTATACCAACTTTTTTCAAAAGTCTAACCTATGAAAACTATATAGTTATTATATTTATATATAACAAAACTCTACTTTGAAGTAACTAGAAAGGCTATTCAATACATGCTTGGTTGTAACTAAAAAGAGCTAAAAAAGACTCGAACCTTTGTAAACAAAGTCCTTTGGTAAAACATGAGTACTATTAAGCAAAGAAGTAGTAGATAAGCTCTGGAGCTTTGTCAAGTGCTATAAGAGCTTAGGCCTAAATAATTACTTGTTTTAACATAATATTCTATATAGCGTAACTCTTACAACTCCTTCTCAAGTTGATTTTTTGTTCTGCTCTTACTATTGGATTTTTCTCTTGAAATTTTTACCAAAAAGTGGGAAATTTGGCATACTTCCTTCAAAGGATCAACACTGTTTATCTTCCCAAATCAGTAATGTTAGTCACAAGAAAATTATGAGATAACATGTGTCAAACTCAAGAGGAAAATAAAACTTCGACCATTCTCTTCACATGACAAATGGAATATATTATAATACAGAGATAAAGTA